CTCCCTCCCCCCACTAGAGCCCTTATACTCTGATATCCCTGCTTCTATCTGCTGTGTTCTTGGCACCCTCCAGCCATTCCCCACTTCTTGTCCATCTGGTGAATCTAGTCAGCCTATCTAGAGGTCTTTGTTTTAGGAAGGTCAGCTGTTCGTTATCTAGCAGCAATCAGTTATCAATGTTCCTTTAGATAAGATTGGGGTCTGCTATTCATTTTCCCAGTTCTATGCTGAGTTACTATCTGGGAGTCCCTATATTCCTCTGGATAAGATTGGGGTCTGTTGTTCATTTTTCCAGTTCTATGCTGGTTTACTATCTGGGAGTCCGTTTGTTCACCCTGGCCAACAACTCAAAAGAAGGTATCTCCTATCTGGCATTGTTGCTTGTTATGTAGCCTTCAGCTATGCATATGGACTCTTAAGAAATTATATTGACCCCTTTAATCTTTGGTTATACTTTCCTTTTGTGTGTTTAAGGCCATACAGTTGGCCCAGATAAGCCAATTTATTTTTACTCTTAAGGTCTTTTGAGGATCTGTTCCTCAGGGGTCACATGGGCTTGGGAGGAGCCCCTGACTCCTTTCTTTTTTACTAGTTCTGCCTATTTGAAGATAAGTCAAAGGTCCTACTCGACCATGGCTGGCTTCGCTTGGAAGCATGGAGGAAATGATTCCTCTGTGTTGACCTTCTTCTTTGTAGACGGGACACTAGTTCAAGTTCATCTGGTGGGGTCTCCTCGGCCTCCTTGATCAAGAGGACAGGTGACCCACCACAATTACAGGACATTTTGAGAGATGCTCCTAGTTCCCTGGAACTAGTCAACCTAGGAGGGCAAGGAGCAAAAGCTGTCATTTATGTCCCTCTGACCAAATTAGTATAGGTCTCAAAGTATGTCTGTTAAACATCCAAGAAGGTTAGTTCCACCAGTGTGGTACTTTTAATTACTGTGTGTCATGTAGATAAATCTTGGGCAAAGACCAATTGTTCTCAGATAAACCTTACATACCCATATATTTCTTGATCTGCTAGGTATAATTTGTCAGTAAGTTGTAGGAATAATATGGTTCCCTCTGTTTTTCAAAACTAGCTAGGCTTTATTTATCTCTCGCATTGTCTCACCCCTCCATCATGGTTTTCCCACTTAAGGTGCCCCTATGTCCCCCTTTTCTCCCTTAATAATACCCTTCTCTTATGGTCCTACCTCTCTTGAGATCCTTCTTTCCCTTTATCCCCTAGGTTCCTTGTATGCATCCTCCCTTAAACTAACCCAATTTTTATTCATATCTCCCTTAATAAGGCCTGTTTCCTACTGTTCTTCTCTTTCTGGTTATTTCTTTTCCTTTACTCCC